GATCTGCTTTGAATGTATATGTCACTCAAATATGAACGGAACGGGGACGTGTCATTGACAATGACTTGTCTATTATGGAATGAAGTTCTATGATCATGTCAAGCGGTTTACGAATTGTGTCTTTGCTCCATTTTTGCAGAAATTTATATATTTTTGTTCCTGATGACGTTCAAAATGGTCGACTGACTGCCAATATTTGAACCCAAAATTGGCCTAACGCTATATTGTGCCCAAGGCAATTTCTCTTAGCTCCACAGTTTTTCTTGAATCATGAAATATTGGTAACACCATTTGGCTTACTTTGTCACATGATCTAACCCAAGATGCTTTAACCTTTTCACCACCACAATTTGCCGCCTAAATTTTGTGTACTTTTTTTTTTTTTTTTTTTTACATTTCTGGAAATGAATTTTGGAGCCAACATAAAAAAATTGGCTATTTTTGTCCCAATCTTCTAAAAGAAAGTGCAAACTATAAACAGGCTATTTTGTGAAATCATGATGAAAAAAGAAAACCGATGATAGAAAGGTTTATACCTGCATCACAGTCAGCTTGCGCACACGTGATAATAAAATAAATACGATATTTACTATATGGGGCCTCCATCTTGAATGCAGCATAAAACTAAATAAGAGACAAGTTGTGAAACGTGTTTTTCAGATTCCTACAAATCAGGACAAATAATACTATCCATTGGGATAATATTAAGCCAGCCGATATCAAAATTTGGCCGAATTCGTTGTTATTGTGTGGAAAAATCTCTCAAATACGAACACCTAATTACACGAAGAACATAGAACACTTTCCTGGGGGATTTGAAACCAAAAATTGTCATTCCAGCTCAGCAGCCAATTAGCGACGGTCTTACAGTCAGATGACAATTTCGGTTTCAAAATTCTGCTTATAAGGAGAACATTCCCTTTTATCTAGAGCACATAACTGCTGACTACATTTGTTATATCGTTATTTCCAAGATCTGGTATAATCTTACATGCTTGTTTAAATTTTACAGAAGAATGTTGTCACAACAACCTGGGAAGATGGCACCTATTATTTTATTGTATTCATTCAAACGGAAACTCCAACAGAAGGTTTAAAGTTGAAATTTTCAGGTACAATCTATGACACAATAGCTTTATTGGTTCTTTTTCCAGAGAAGTTGTATTGAAATGTAGGATATCTAACATTGGGGAGTCTTTGCTGTGATATGCAATAAATTTTTATTTTATGTGCACACTTCACTTTTTGCAAAGGTGTATGTTTACACTAGTAGAAACACTGAATGCAGTAATTGAAGTTGATTTTGGCAAAAAATGGCATGATTTAAAAAAAAATTAACAAAGGTAATTATCAATTTTTGAAAGCTAACTGAATATAAATCTGATTGGGCACTAAGTCTAACGTGAACCTAAAAGTAGAAATGCCCCAAATCTGGGGGTGGGCGTGTTTAGTCGGGTTTTGGCTTTGAGTCTGATGAGTACGTGTGTGGCTATTCATATCTGCATAGAATACTATGGAATATTTTAGAATTGAATAAATAGATACAATGCCCAAATGGGTCACATGTTCACGAGTGGTATTTAAATGCCAAATTCAAGTAGCATTCATTTCTTCTTGTCTTTTATGCAGTTGATGTTGAAATGGAGTCATCTAAAGGTTTCATCTCTGCAATAGATTATCCATTGTTGATTGTAAGTATTACGTCTATATGCATTGTCGTTTGCTATACCATCTTGCAGAGGCTCCTAACTATGCCAACCTCCTAATTAAGACATGGATTTTTGAATGGCAATGATTGCTCTCTCTTCTTGAAAAAGGGAACCAATCAGAGAACTCGTTGTTCATATTGTCATATTATCTAAAGAATGTCCTGCACTGGGACAATCAATCACAAAAAGTTTAATGGATCACATGCAGTGTTATAAGAATGGCAAATAGCTAATATTTCATTAGACAATCAGAATGGAGTTATTTTGATCAGGACATTGCTTGTTATAATGACCTACAGGAAAAATACATGTAATAATGAAATTATCACAAGAATATCGCAAACTGTGCACACAGTTACATGTTAATGCAATTGATGTAGGCATACTGCTTTTGTGCATATTCTTGTGATGACATTATTTGGTGTAATAAAAAGTGACTTCACGGCACAAACCAGGCCTGCCCTATGCATGCTATCTGTGAGATTCACTGTGATGTCAGTACAAAATCATTTTCATTACACTGTTTACAAGACATTTAAATGCACGCTGTCACATTCTTTGATATCAGAATGAAATTATGGTGAGCAAAAATGATGTAGGTATTACTGTATTGTAAATGAATTTATTTCGTGTATTTTTTTTCGTTACAGTTCTATGCTGTGATGTGTGTTGTATATAGTTTAATGGCATTGTTGTGGCTGTTCTGCTCAGCCTGTCAGTGGAGAGATCTTCTCAGAATTCAGTTCTGGATCGGTGGTGTGATACTACTTGGTAAGTTGATGGAACGATAAAATACATTTCTAATTATACAATTTTGTGTGGGTGGCAACAAGTATGCTGTTAGAAAAAATAAAAAGTTCAGGACGTAAATGATTTCCACATGCAATGTATACAGAATGCTATATAG